TATTTAAAGTTCATTTATTTATTTTGAGAGAGAGCTAGTGAAGTGGGGGAGGGGCAGAAAGAGAATCCCAAGCAGACTCCGCCCTGTCAGTGCAGAGCCTGATGCAGGGCTCAAACCCACAAACCACGAGATCATGACCTGAGCCAAAATCAAGAGTCAGCCGCCTAACCGTCTGAGCCACCCAGGCACCCCTGTTTATCAGACCTCTTAAAGCAAAGCATAGTCTTTCCTCATTTGTGGGTTCTATATTTGAGAATTTGTCTACTTGCTAAAATTTAACTCCAGAAGTAATTCCAAAATCAATGCTTATAGCATTTTTTCAGTCCCTCACGGACATGTGCAGAGTAGCAACAAATTTCATTTGCTTGACAAGCACATTTCTAGCTGAGAAAGAAGAAAGTGATGCTCTGCTTTCTTGTTTTAGCACTCCTACTGTAGACAAGTGTCCTTCTGCAGTCTATTTAGTGCCATGGTTTTTTGTTTTTGTTTTTTGCATTTTTGTGCTTTTTGTTGGTGATTTTGCTGTTCAAAGTGGCTCCCAAGCATGGTGCTGAAGTGCTGTCTAGCATTCCTGAATGCAAGAAGGCTGTGATGTGCCTTAGGAAGAAAATATTAGATAAACTTCATTAAGGCATGAGTTGTAGTACTAATAGCCGTGAGTTCAATTGGTATTGAATCAACAATATAATATGGTATTATGTAGTACCATATATTTATATACACATATAACAAGATTTTATATTGACAAGGCTTTGTATTGATTGATTGGTGAAAATACTGTGGTCAGAGGCTCACAGGAACCTACCCCTGTATTTCCCATAGGAATAATGGCTCAGTATTTGATAATTCAGGGATTATAGTGACCTTGTAGAACATAACTGCCATGAATAATGAGAATCGGCTGTATTTAAGAGTGCAATTATAAAGGGGAACATTCAGGGGTGCCTGGGTGGCTTAGTTGGTTAAGCATCCGACTGCCGTTCAGGTCATGATCTCATGATTTGTGAGCTCAAGCCCTGTGTCAGGCTCTGTGCTGACAGCCTGGAGCCTGTTTCAGGTTCTGTGTCTCCCTCTCTCTGCCCCTTCCCAACTCATGCTCTGTCTCTCAAAAATAAATAAATGTTAGAAAAAATGAAAAATAAAGGAGAATATTCAGAGTGGTATATAAGGAATTTCATTGCTAACAAATAGATGCCTCTAACTGTTCTTACATTGTTCAGATTCTCGTGTTTCTCTTTTCCTCTCTCCAGGAAAACTCTCCAAATCCTGGGATTTCTTTTTTTTTTTTAATTAATTTTTTTTAATGTTTATTTATTTTTGAGAGAGAGACACACAGAGCATGAGTGGGGGAGGTGCAGAGAGAGAGGGAGACACAGAATCCAAGGCAGGTTTCAGGTTCCAAGCTGTCATCACAGAGCCTGATGCAGGGTTTGAACACATGAACTGCGAGATGATGACCTGAGCTGAAGTCAGACGCTCAACTGACTGAGCCACCCAGGTGCCCCTGAATTCTGGGATTTCTTCAAAGTCCTTCTCTTAGATGAAGTCTTTCCTTTCATCGCTAACAGTCATTTTTGTCCTCCTCTTTTCCTGGAGAACTTTGCCATTAGTACTAGTTTGGCATCGGACCCTCTCATGCTTTGTTTTGTTTCATCCTATTTCATGTATATCGATGTTGAGATCATGAATCTGTGAGTTGCTTGAGGGGAAAGTAGTATTTAATGCTCCAGTTTATTGCTTCTATTTTCTCTTTGTTCCTTTCTTCATAGTCCTCTCATTCTGTCTATAAACATGCTCTGATTTCTTTAATAATAATAATTTTCCTTCTTCCACTCTCCTACTATCCCTGATTTCTTTATTTTTACTGCCAGATTTCTCAAAGGAATAGTCCCCACTCTTGGGCTTCGTTTGGTCATTTTCTACTTCTTTTTAAGCCAGTGCAATGCATCTTTATGCATATGAGATGCCTACTCATTTATCAAAGTATAGAAGTGCAAAGTTGTGAAATGAATAGATCCTAGTTAATGTAATTTACTTCGAAGTTAGAGTGTCTTGATTTGAATCTCAGTTCTGCTGCTGCTTAATGCTACTTGATCATGCCACATAAGCTTTCTTCTTTAGATGGCATATCATTATTCACCTATGAGGCTTTATGATTTTTGAATGAAATAATGTCTATGTACTTGTTTAGTCTATTTGTTAAATTTTGAGCTGGTGTGGAAGTATGTATTTAAGCAAACCTATAACTCACCTAGATTCATAAAAATTTTGCCTGAGTCCAAGACTTTCCATTACTAAATGAGAGATGTAAAATTCATGATTTCTAAGATCCTTATCAGTTCTGAATCTGAGTTTATGCTCTTTTTAATTTTTTAAAGGAGTAATTGAGGCTTCTGAAATTGTCCAGTCTCTTCAGACATTAGGTCTAACTATTTCTGAACAACAAGCAGAGTTGATTCTTCAAAGGTAAGCTCTTTCTCTTACTGACAATTGTGGGGGGTTCCTTGATGTTAATTTTATGTTTTTTTATTATTTTTAAGATTTTAATATCTTATATTAGAGATCTTCATTTTAAGTATAGCTTAAAACTCCCTACATCTTACCATTCCTCATGTACATTCAATATCTTTCTTTGTCTTCCTTTTAATTTTGTATGAACACGTGTAAAGCGTAGGAGTGGAGGGTGTGCCTGGCTGCTCAGTTGGAGAAGCGTGAAACTGAAGTCTCACACACCCGTATCCTACCTTCTGACCCCTCTTCCAAATTTTACGTAGTGTTTCTCCCACTCTACTTGCTTTTTGACTTACAGATCTCTGGCCCTTTGTTTACACTGGTTCCTCAATATCTTGATCCATTTCCTTCCACTTTTTCACTCCTCCTTTCTCCCATCCCCAAACCATCCTACCAGTTGCCTTCTTTGCCCCAACATTTGGGCTATTAAACATTTCTAGAGAAAAATGAGACTGTATAGATTAGTACTCCTAAAAGGCACAGCCTTTATTCTCTACCAGACATTCAGGCTGAAGCTTTGTGTGTCTGTGTTCCTGGCCACCCTTGTCTTCCATTCCCCACAGTGATTCTAAATGTTTACCGTGCTATTCCCACCTGCCACTCTCTGTCCATTCTCTGTGGCTTCAAAGAGCAAGTTCAGCTAGGCATGGATGAAATCTGTTGACTCTGCTCTCTCCATGTTTCTTTCAGTTCTTTGAATTCTCTAAAAGTCTTTTCCAACTTTGGAGACTTTCACTTGTAATTCTCACTGCTTAAGGGACTAAATGCCTCCCGTATGTTTGACTTCAGTCTTCATGTCAGAGAGATCTACCCCGTCTAAATCAGTCCCCTCCACCCTACAGCAGTTTTATTTATTTGTGCAACTTATGAAGTTGCTGGTTCATCGCTCTTACAGGTTGTAACCATAAGCTCATTTGTATAGCTTAGTGTTTAGAAATACAGTTTCTGAAGTTAGAAGGCCTGGGTTGAAATACTATATTCTGTTTTACTTACCACGCCTGTGACCTAGGACAAAATACTTAGTCTCTCTCTGTCTATAAGATGGAGACAATAGAAAGTATATAGGATTGTTTTAAGGATTAAATGAACTTACTTGGGAAGTGCTTAGAACAATGCCTAGCAAATGCTCCATGAATATTAGCCATTACTTGCTACTGTTCAGTGTCTGTTTTTCCTGCTACACTGTAAGCTTTGAGGGCACAGACCACTTCCATCTTGTTAAGTGTTCTACACTCAGCACCTTGCAATAGTGGGCGCTCAGAAAATATTGAAGAATGTGTTAAAGAATGAGTAGAAGTCATCCTAGTGAAAAAGAGTAGGGGGAAGGACATTCTAGGTAGAGGGAGAGACCTGTGCAGACATGGAAGCGTGTGAACACCACACTCAGGAAATGGGTCAGGCAGTGCTTTTCAGAATCCTCTCCAGACCACTGGTGGTCTTTGTTTTAGCTAGTGGTCTATGAGCTGTTGGAGTGGCCCATTGGAAACAGCCATGAATATAATAATAATGAACAATTTCTGGGAATTAAGAAAAAGAACAGCTGAAATAGTAGACAATAATAGTGAGACCAGAGAGAATAATTTGTCTTAAACTGTTATAAGATCCTTATTCTTAGAAGAGGGAGATCAAATAGTATCTTTAGATTTTGTTATATGTATCTGGCAAAAATTCAAGGTAAACCTTGAAAGTATAGGAAGAAACTAGTTTCAGGCAATTCAACAAAGAAAGGAGGAAAACAATTCAAAGAAAAAAATGAGAACAAAAGATAAGATGGGAGAAATAAGTTCACGTACAACAAAACCCTGTCAAAATGTACCCTGAAAAAATGTTAGGTCCTGTTTTCTTTTCACTTCCATTCCCAAATGGGGCAGGTTAAATAAAGTTATTATCTTTTTGGGAGGTGTAGCATGGGAGAAGAGTAGGTTAGAAGGTTATTGCCTCTGATAGGTCAGGATTTTCTCAGTTTAGTGTACAATATGGTGGGGACAAATAATTTCAATATTTTTGTAGTATTGTGACAGAATACACTCATTGAAAAATATTAATGTCACAGTGGCATGAAACTATATTTTTATGCTCCCTACTTATAGTGGATTTTTAATGTATATCAAACTAAAAATTAACATAAGATTTGTTTGAACAGAAAGATTGTCAGATGAAAGAAAAAGTAAAACAAAATCCTGCAAACTAAGTGCAAGCTGCTGTAGCTAAATAATATCAGATAAAATTATAAGGTAAAAAACATTAGTGGAAAATAAACTGTCACCACATTTAAAATTCACAAAGACATAAAATTTTAAGCTGGTTAATAGAATTCCAGGGATAAATTGACAAATCCTTCATAGTAGTGAGAAGTTTTCACATAGGTCTCCCTGTACTTGTTAGATCAAGCATAGAAAAAAATTTAGTCAAGATGGAAGAGAAATAAATAAACTTGATTTAATGGGTGTACAATAGAACCTTGCACCAAAAAATTAGAAAGAAAAATTTTTTTCTCAGGTACGTATGGAGCATGTATAAAAATTGATTTTATAGTAGTCCATAAAACCAGACTCAATACATTTCAAAGAATTGGTATCACAAAGACCATCTTCTTTGACCACATATAGGTATTTAGAAGTTAATAGCAGAAATAAGTTCTAAAAATATCATGGGTTTTGGAAATGGTATATACTTCTCAATAATTTTTGGGTCAAAGAGGAAATCATAGTAGACATTCAAAGATACTTCGACTTGAAAGAATATCACATATGAAAACTTGTGAGATATAGCTAAGGTGGTACTTAGAGGGAACTTTATAGCCTTAAAGCTTGTATTAGAGAATTATCAAGGGGTGCGTGGGCTGCCAGGCCAGACCCGTGAGGAGACCAAGATAATCTACAATCTGGATGGGTGGGAGATGTAGTACCTAGCGGAGCTGCCCCTGCTCTCCGAGAGCGTCACCTTGACGGACTGGAAGGGCATTCTGCAGCGAACCAGCTCTATGTTCTTCTTCAAGGCTATGGACCACGGATTTGGAGTGGTGAAGGAGGAGCTGTTGAACAACAGTGCCTGGCTGAGGTTGGTGTCCGCTGATGGCTTGCACCCAGAGCTAGCTCCCTTCTGTGCTGACAACCCACTGTAACTGCCACAGCCCATGGAGTGCACGGGACTCTGGGGACTCCCGGCCCTGTCTTTCCACTCTTGTGCTGGTGGGGGCAGCCAGGAAAACCTGGACAGGGACACAGAGACAGACTCTTTGGTGTCTGCTCAGCATAAGCGGCCATGAAGGAGGGATGGCCAGAGCACACAACCCAGGTAAACAGAACTGCAAAGGTGGAGCAGCGGCAAGAGCCAGGGGGTTGGAATAGCCCATCCACGTTATGAGCAGTGAGGTGGAGATGACCACCTTCTTCCATTCGGATGAGGATGACTGCACCTGCAGGTTCAGCAGCTCCACAGAGCAGGGCAGTGCCTCATACCAAATGAGAAGACCAGCATTAGTGGTGGCAGCAGGAGGTTTTGCAGTTTGAGTGGTCCTGATCCTTCAGCCGATCAGGAGTCCTTCATGGATTCCACAATGTCTCTCAACATCATCACAGTCACTCTCCTGGAAAAGTAGTTTTCTGGGCGTCTTCACTATGGGCCAAGGCAACAAGCATGGTGATGGAGGCATCTACATTGGCTCCGTCATGAAGGCTAGGGCTCTGATAAACACGTCATGCCAGGAGATACGCTGTTACAGGCAAGCTGGATGAAATTTGGGAACATGAATAATGACAATGCGGTCCGTGTTCTTCTGGAGACTGGGCACAGACCAGGCCCATCACCCTGACTGTAGCCAAGGTGGTAGGACCCAGGTCCACATGGCTGCTTCACAATGCCCAGGGGCAAGCCCATGCAACCCACTGACCCTGCAGCCTGAGTTTCCCACACTGAAGCCATGACCAACACCTTTCCTACGTATGGTATGAGCTCCTCCCTGAGCACCATCACCTCCACTGGCTCTTCCATCACCAGCTCCAACCCCGACACAGAGCGTCTGGACCACTTACACCTGTCCATCCACAGTGACATGGCTGCCATCATCAAAGCGATGGCCTCCCCAGAATCTGGGCTGAAGGTCTTAGCCACATGTGGCTCCAGATTACCATCCTCAGTGCTTTCATTGGCTTGGATGTGGGGGACTGTACCACAGTGTGGAAGGCTTCACTGACTGGTAGGAGACCAGCAAGTATGCCAGCAGCCTGCTGAAAGTGACTTCATCTGCCACACTGTCAACAAGGTCAACTTCTCTGGGCAGTGCTACTACATCTTTGGCAGCCTTTGTGGCAACATGGTCAGCGTGTCCCTCCATGATCACAATGGCTTCAGCAGAGCCTCTGACTAGGACATGCCAGGCCCCTTTGCCACATCTGGGGGCTGCTCCTGGATCCATGGATTCCCTTACCAGTACCTGCTGCCCTTGCACCCCTACAACCTGCACCCGGGCTTCCCAGAGCTGGGGTACAGCTATGGTGGGGGCAGTGCTAGCAGTCAGTATAGTGAAGACAGCTGGAACAGTGGCTCCAGCCATAGTGGCAGCGACTGGTGGAAGGAGAAGGACCTGAAATTGGGTGGCAACAGCAGCGAGTGGGACCACACAATCCACAGTAGCCTGCGGGGCTGTGGGAGCCAGCGCCCGGTCAGCGTAGCTGCCACAGCCAGCACTCAATGACCAGCAGCCTGTGCAGCCACTGCATACATCTGAGCTACGGCCCCCTATGGCATTCCTTCTTTCTATACAGTTCCCCCATGCTGATGTGCCTCCACTACCTATGGCCCTGGGGCCCCCAGGAACCCTCCAGGCAAAGACCTGGCCTCCATGTCCACCAAACTGACCACTAGCACACAGTCCTTCCGCATGGCCATGGGATACCCTAGTAAGTTCTTTGTAGATGTGATATGAACTGGGCCCCTCCCCTGCTTCCATCCCA